ACTTAAGTAGCAGAAGAATGAGCTGTTCCGCGTATTTGCATTAAAATTGATGGAACATCCGCCCTCCTGCGAGCGGGGAAACTACAGGAAACAAACGAACCAGAGCGGCGCCTTTATTATTGATATAGCGCCGCCGCGCGGATGTGGTAGAATTGCTCTTCAAGCCCGTAGCCAGGATTTTGGTAGGGGGTTCTTTTTGATACTAAAAGGGCATTTGCGAGCACCATTGGCTGGGGCCAGGAGGGGCGCCAAGGGCCCCCGGGGGGTCCAGGGCTAAAACCCCGGTGGGGGTCCAGCATTCTAAGCATTTACAAGTGTTATTTAATTGATTTGTGAAGCCATATACATTTTTAAAAAAATGTATATATTAAAGAGGTAATTTTTTGAGTTGGGAAAAGATAAAAAACAAGGTTTCGGGGCCTGAATTTTTTATATTACTAGGTAGGCCTAACAATCGGGTATTAAAGTAGGACTTTTAATGATGATAGGCTCTAGGCTAGGCCTAAAGTGTAGGCTAGCCAGTCTTTGTTGAAAGGGCACTTTATGAAAGGGGGGTTCGTTCGAACCCAACGAACCCCCTGGCTACGGGCTTGCTCTTCGTGTACCTACAATGCATTTCGAACGTATGTTCCACAATATTGGGAAGTTGCTTTCTTTGATACAACTAAGAAATAATATCACATTATATCATATCCTCCACTGCCAATTATTAGAACCTTGAACTCATAAACTTGAATACACAAGCTAAATAAATTTACAGCTGACAAACAATATCGCTAGCGCCATATCGACAAGTGATATGCGTTCATTAGAGCACTTTCATATTTCATATATAATTATTTAAATTTTTAAAAATTTCGGTAAGACAAACGAATGTAACAGATATTTATGTATTGGTTCTAACAGACAAACAGTGATGAATAGATAACATCTTTGGCAGATATAGTGAAAAATGTTAATGGGAGAAATAGCTAATTTGTATTATAATTTTTACTACAGTTGTAAAAATATGAGCCTCTAAGAATTTGTAGTATGATTTTACTTACATATAAGAAGAAACTGAATAGGATTATTACCAAGCTAGTAAGATTGTAGGTACAGACGTAAACAATTCGAATTTTTATGTAATGTCATGCTGTCTAAGAAATTACAATGCATAATGTTTGATGTTATCCACCCAGTTCATGATCACTCTCTGTAAATCTGGCAGATTATTCCACCTTAAAGTAAAGATTAACCGGTTTAAAAAATCTTTCATTCCATCAGCAGTTAGACTTATAACATGCAGTTTAATAGATAAGCCACAATATTGTATACCTTGCCTCTCATAAATCCTTGCAATATTAGGTTCTGTTTGACAATTTTGATTAACTTTGAGCATCTTGGATTGGATTTATTCGGTGTAAACACCAAGGATAGCCGATGAAAGTCTATAAGAAGACTTATTTCCAGTGTCCTTGTGGTGATTGGGCAGTACACCGGGAGACAATCCCCTACTCTTTTCCTAAGAGTGTACCTCGTTCTTTAACGTGCACATGGTAATAAATGCACACGGGAGCAACTGTTAAACGTCTCATCCGAAAGACAGTGCGCTATTGTAACTTGTATTTTAGCCCTCCAGCTGAAACACAAGGAGAGGCAACGATAGGAATTGAACCGGGGACCTAGAGGTCTCCATGGCTTAGCGCACACACAGTGGCTACCACCAGATTAGCCGAGCCGACAGAGCAAAGCTACTCTTGTATTTTTTTAATTTAGAAATTTTTATTGTGCAACTTGTATGTATTTAATTAATTTCTATATTTTTCTAATAATAGTGTATTTTAAGGAACCATACAGTACGGTATCTCATAGCAGTATTTTATACCGTTGTGACAATAAAGTTTTATCGTATCGTATCTGCACCTCTCCTTTAATCTTACGCTATATTTTCTCTTGGTTGAATTTCCGATTATTTATTGCTTTGCTAAATTTATAACAGTTAACAATTGAGTATGCTGCAGGCTAATGAAGACTGACGTGCAACCCAGTGCTACAACAAAAAGGAACCACTCAATAAAACCGTGATAGGCCGGCTGTACGTTACTTTTGTTACATAATATTATTTCACTATGTCATTAAACATGTATTTCCCCTGAAAGTGACGCAAATCTTAATATATAAATTGGAAGTTAACTTATTTAGTTTTCACTAACATACAAATTATTAACTTGAACATAGAAATGATTAAATTCAAAAAATGTGTACCGTGAATAATGTAATAAAACATTTCCAGGGACTGGAAGTGATCCTATCATTTTCGCTGCAAAATTATCGGTAAAATACATTATTTTACATGCACAAGTTGATAATCTATAGCCTATGTTAATTTAAAATGAGCAAATTAATTTCAAAATGATTGTTATGATTTGTTTTATTGGTATTTGGCATGGCACAATACATCTTCAACGATCGGTCAAAATTTTAGTTGGAGTAGTAGCCTATTTTGTTTCTTTAAGATGTATTGTTCCATGAAAAATAAAAAATTAAAAAAAAAAGGATAAAATTTGTTCTTTTTAAAAATTAACTTGCTCATTTTGAGTAACATACAAATTATCAACGTGAACTTAGAAATTAGTGTACCCATAATTTTACAGCGAAAATGACAGAAGCACTTCCAGTCACTGGAAGTGTTTTTATTATAATTATCGAGTATGAAAACAGGGTATTTATATGCTCATGTTAATTATTTGTATGTAACTGCACAAAGAGCAAGTTAAGTTCAAAATTATTTTTAATGATATTTTTTGTCATTTTCAGTGGAAAATACATATTTAATGTAATGTGATATACCGTAATGTAATGTAACGTATGCCTAATTGGGTTTATATAGTGCTAAAACGCCCTACTCGTCTCAAAAGATGTACTGGGTTTTTAAAAGTGCACGGGAGCGAAATTGTGTATACTGGGCTTACGGTTTCAGTCCTTATGCGAGAAGGCTTGTTTCACCCCCAGAACCATGTTCGGTTGTACGTTGCGGCCATTCGACTCTCGAAAGGTTGATGTTAATGAAGAATAAAACTATAAATAATGGATGATTCAACAGGCACTTTTTAATACACCATTAAGTGAGTAAAGAATAAAAGAGCAAAACTCCCTTCCCCCAAGGCTTATTTGAATGATTGTAGCAGATTTTGGTCACACGGATCACACTGCGTTGTTTTTTATTTTCACTGATATTAAATTAAAAATATAAATGTTTCAAATGTAAACGTACATTTATTATAATAACAAGGTCTCGTAATCGCAAAAGCTCCGATGAGGGCAGTATAACAGAGGCAGTAGAGTACAGTATATTGGCCCTAACAGCCGGCCATACAAAAAATTCTATTAATTAATCAGCCGGGTATTCATAGAGTTCCTCATCGGAGCAAAAGTTGGAGCAGCAAACATATACAGAAATGTAATTGGTTCAGTAATTGGGAAAGGAAGTTGCAGTACGACATCAATAACACATTTATTTCAAGACACGAAATTAAGAACTATTATCTAAAAAGGCCTATGCGTTTGATGGTTAATTGCTAAAGTAGGCTGAACACGAGCAATGTAATTGCAAATGGATGAATTACTAAACAAAGTTTAAAATAAGCCATTATTATCCATGGTTACTCCATACAAAATTTATTGATTTGGCCTTTGCCCTAAGTAGAATAAAAACAAATTTGTGAATATTAATACCTTATACAAGTACACCTTTCGTTTAAGCTTTAATTCGCCTTAAAAGAAACGAGATTCACTGTCATTACTGTCTTTTTCTTTGAAAGTGAATTTCACAGTTCAACTTACTTGTCGTAAGTTTAAAAATTTAATAATATTCTGAAAAAATATAAACTTTTAAGTAGCTTACATGCGATAACAAGTTACATCATCAATTAAAAAAATGTGTGTGCTATAAACTCTAGTCATACGATAATCTATCACATTGCATTTACAAGAACGATCGATTATATTCAAGCGAAGTAAATATATAACCAGCATACTAACGTCAATGAAATTATTATAATAAATTAACTGAAGCTGTCAAATTAACTCGCTGTAAACGGAAGAAATCAGAATTCAAATGTCCTTTCAATGCCGAACTCTCAATCTGATCATCTGCTACATACAGAACGCACTCAATGTTTAATCGTTGTCATTGGGGCAGGTCCAGGGAGGGGAACGTTCTCACATCCCAATGTCATTTTTCAACAAAATCATACAAAATGGAATACAAATACTAGCAACGGCACGGCCTTTGGTGAACTTTTTAGATACTCAGTTTTTTTTAAAGCCTATTAAAGAGTAACGCCAAACACAAGATAATGTTCTCTAGAGCATACATTATTCTGTCGAGTATCATGGTTGCTAAGTGTCGAACCATAATTTTAGAACAGTTCAGATACAGAATACACACGAAGCTCGATTTTACAAGTAAACAAATTAGGCTAATGTTTAGGTCTAGTTCTATTCTAAATTAGTCACATTGATTTCTTAATGACATACATTTTGGGGTTAAAACTTAGGATTAACGTGGTTACTTTTTTAGTGAAAAAAAACACCACTTATTGCTTATTATCAGCAACACTTTGAAGCCTTGAACATAACTCTGTACCGCAACTTCCACTCTATTGTACCTAGGCTATTTGCTTAAAAATCCTGTCTGGTTTTGATATTTTATAGATTCGTGTTATTGTAAAATTATTACAATAATTTGTAATACACTGCACCCTCCAATTCGAGACCCCTCTAATTCGAGACCAATTTTTAAAAGAACCAAATAACAATCTTCAATACAATCTTTTAACACAAAGTATAGCCCTCTAATTGGAGACAGAATTCTGAAACCATCGCAAATTTTCAAGAAGGCCTATCAAAGGTCATGGCGGTCTTGATTTGGTGGGTGAACTGTTTAATATCTGTCTCTTATACACATCTAGATGTGTATAAGAGACAGAATGTAATGTGATTATATGCCTGCGATATTTCCTTACTCAAATTAGAATATAACAGTCAGTACATCATTATATATCTAGGCCTTTATGATATTCACACAAAAAATATTACACAAAATAAAAATATATAACTTATATTACCCTTGCTTATATAAATTAAAGAGCGTCTACATTTAGTCAGAGGATATCCCATTTTCCCCAGTATATTCTGGTATTAAAATGCGAGTAGCAATAATGCATTTTTTTCGCCCATTATTAGCGCCCCTCATGATTTGTTCTAGTATCCCGCGACTTGAAACCTTCGATCCACCCTTAGTGCTGTAGACTACACACTGGTACATACGAATAACGGAAAGGAAGTCGTGATGTGTTACAGTTTCTGGAGGATTACGAGGTTTCTTACTTTAATATTAGTATTAACGACCATCAAATGAAACTATTGTACTTATTGAGAATTCAGTTCTTTTCCGCAGAAGGTGACGTAGCGCTGTTGAGAATTGCCTATGACGAAACACGTAGATGAACGGATTGACGGCCGAACTAATACTCAACGAGACTTCCGTTATCAGCTCGTACCAGTAAACATCAGAACGTTGAAACCCAAGTGAAAAGATAACAACTCTGAGTGAATAAGGGAAATAGGCAACAATGAATAAGCAGACGATTAAAGCGCTTGTTTTAGCAGCTTTAAAATTCTTACGAACTACTGTTATGCCAACTGTATTTTCAGCGTGTACGATGCTACTTAGCTTTCTTGCCTCCATGAAAATACAGACGTACATAAAAATCAGTAAAATCACACCTGTTGGGACCATTGTCAAAACTACGTAACGTTGAGCTGCAATACCCTCTCGATTCATTTGATAGCAAAGAAATTTTTCCCCAATTCGTTTGCTTTTCCATAAGAATGGGACGCTGACATACCCACAAGCTGTTATCCATGATATAGCAATTGCACAGTAAATACGGCTTTGAGTAACAATTTGTTCATACTTTAACGGTTTCACTATGGAAACGTACCGGTCCGCAGTAATAAAGAGAAGATGGAGAAATGACGTTCCAATGAAGAGTTTCATAGGAATGTATTGTAACTCGCAGTCATCGATATTCTGTAGGTAAAGGGATTCCCGCGTGACATACTCCCACATAAAGATAGGGATGCCGATAATTCCCGTGAGCAGGTCCACAAATGCTAAGCTAGCAAGTAAAGTAAATTGAGACTCATGTAAGGTTGGAGTTCGGCGAATAACAATAAGAACAAACGCGTTTCCACAAATGATCACCAAAGCCAGTGGTATATAAACAGTTAAAACGAAAATTAAATTGTCTCTATATTCGTTGATCGTCGTGACGTTTCGTATGCTAGCAAACTCATCCATTTTACAGTTGGACCAAACAAAATAATTTTATGACAATCAGAACTCAACACTGCTGCTGCACTGCACGGTTGTAATGAATCCGAGATGGCAATACTCATTATTTAATTTTGAGATTGTGAAAATCACGTGACGTAATATATCATTGTCCTCCATATAGAATAAAATGTAGATTACAAGGACGCATCAAATAATTAGAGATTAAATGTGTGTAAACAGCAATTATTATAACTGTTACAATAATTTTATTTAAAAATTAAATTTTATTAAGTAATATTTCAGATTATAATTTAAAAGCGAAATTATTTGCAATAAATTTCTTGGTCGGATTCAGAATTTTTAAACATGGGCCCCAATTTCCTGTATCAAATAATGGCACCATATGATTCCTATTCAGTATATGCTGTTACGAAGTACAGTATTGTAAGATTTAGTATTTATATGCCACTTTGCATTTTTATTTCTTTTAGAATATAATAGATGCCAATGGCAAAAAACCGGACGACATGTGCCTCACTCTGTGCCCCTCCCTAAATCCGCCCCTGCATTTTGTAGGCTCATAGAATCTGGTCCCTCCACGACCCCTAGATATTCCGCGGTTGCCATTAACTAAGTTTAGTTTTTGGAATGTTCACAAGCCTTACAATAAGTGGGATAAACTTCATATCACTGTATATACCACTCCTTCGTCATTGTGATCAACAGTATAATATTGATCACAAGAACTATTACTTCATCTCGTACATTTGTACAAAAAGCCACAGTTAGTACATAAACTGCACCACAAGGGTGTAATAATAGAAATATAGTCCCTCGTATTCACATCGTACTCTACGTTTATTACAAAGATTGATGTTTCACTCATTCGTGTACTTTTTGAAAAAAAAAATGAAGGCAATACACCACACTAACAAACTCAATCAGTAAAACACTCAAAATACATGGTCCTCAACGGAATGGGAATCTCTGTTTAATATACCATTCTGTATTACTGTAATTCTAACAATAAATACTATAGGCCTACAATTTTAACTTAACTTATCAAATACTGGCAAAATTATCAAAGTTTTATTCAATTACAATTCTGTTTATTCAATTACCATTCTATTGACCACATGAGTTGTAAAATTTAATAATTATTCTTAACTTACCAAAGTTACTTATATACATATATATCACTTATATACA